TTGGTACCGGCGACAGAGAGTAGTGCCGGGTGGAGCCCGGTGCCAGGGTGCACTCTTCACCAACGCTAAGGTGCTCAGCGAGTCATGCCGAGATGGCTCGGACACCAGACAGAGGGCAGACTCCATAAGGAGACCTCGGAGTTGAATATCCCACTCTTTTTGCGTGCAGGGCCAAAAGTTCTTACAGATACAGCACTTGTCTTTGATGTGTGTGCCTCCCACAAGCACTTGAGACAACTGTCATGAGGGTCACTAACAGGCATAGGCCTGTTACACTCTGTGCAGGGCTTGAAACCCAGAGATCGGGCCATGTCCTACGGGGGCAAAGTCCCTGCTGGGACCTTTACTACTAACAACTAAGCTATTAACAGGTACTTAACACTAACTACTAAGAATAACTATATACAAGGATTTAAGGCACAAGTCCAAGACGACAAAACTGCTAGCCCTTTCCAAGCAAGGAAAGGTGCTCTGACTGACGACCTCGGGCGGTAAGAAGGAAGTGAAAGGGAGTAGGAACGGCGGTGCATGATGTGGCACTCAAGGGGGCGCCACGGCCAGCCTTATGGATACCGCTAAGGCAAAAATCTCTGATGACCGCGCACGTGGGCGCATGCACACCTACAATGGAATCAAGATGAGCAAGCACTTGAAGAAGAATTAATGTTCATGAAGTGCTCACATATGCCCTGCACCATTATAGCATATATACCTAATTAAAGACAGACAAAAGGGGCATCATCACTGGGAGACTACACTGTCTCCAAAGTAGGGACAACCAGACAGAATCCTGGGAATTGCCATCCATGAAAGATCAGAAGTATCTTCAGAACCCAGACCTTCAATGATTGATGTACCCTCTATATCCATAGCAGTTTTTTTTCCCTCCGCAATGGAAATAAGTTCCCTGGTGCAGATCCTATCTGGGATCAGCTTCTGTTTGCCCTTTTGCTTGACAGCAGGGAGAGAGTAAACAGACTTCACTAAACATGGGGCATAACACTGGGAGGAAAATTCAGCACTGACAGGAGATGGCTTAGCTGGAGACTCCCCCAGTGCTGAGACACTCTGACAGTGAGGAACTCACACAAATAGCAGTATGCAGTTCATGGCTGAGAAGAGAGATCATCTAAATCCCTGGCACTAAGGATACCCCACCATCAGACACAGACAATGGTGCTGACCTCATCATCTGATCAACCTCAGAACTGGTCCCACAGTGTTTGCCAGCCTGAAGCTTGATAATAGTGGCTGGTCCCAGAATCAATAGTTGGAAAGGAAGGAACTGAAGCTAGTGAGGACCTCACTTCTCTTACAACTTCAGCTCTTAACATTCTGAGCTATGTGGGAGTGCTCATATAGTCCTAACAAACACTACTTTTCTGGAAGGTTCACAGTTCTTAGTGGGGTCGGGTAATGCCTTCAACAATAGGCCACCTTGTAGAAAAATATTTATTACTGGGGATGACACATGACTCAGGGAAAAAAAATATCCTACTTGACTTACATATTTCATGTTGAATCTTCAGGGTTGTCTGGTACCTTTTTACTTGTAAACTGAGAGACAATCATGGAACCTAAGGAAGCCATTCTTTAAGAGTCACTTCAGAGAAATACACATTGGCGACAATTTTCAAAAGTGGCTAATGATTTTGGATGCCCAATTTGAGACACCTTAAAGGGGCCTGATTTTCAGGTGGATACAATGATCAATACTTTCTGAAAATCAGGCCCCTTAAAAGGATCTCAGTTTGGGCATCCAAAAATGGAGGCACCCAAAATCACTGATCGCTTTTGAAATTCTTGGCCTTAAGTTTCAGGAAAATAACACTGCTTTTTTATAGCACTTTAGCCAGTCCAATTTGTGCATACTGCTCATTGCATTATACAAACTGGCAATTCTCCCTTGATTTCACACGTCCATTCTTATGATGAGCCATTCTATAACTTTCCTAAAACCCCAAACTTTCTCTCTTACGAAAACATGTCCAGTCAAATATTACAAAACAACCCAACAATACAGATGAAAAGAGAAACATTTAGAAAAGGTTTGTCAATAAAAATGGTTTCCCAGTCTTTTGTGACCCATCAAATATATAAAAATGCCACAAAGAAAAAATAGGTAAATGATGCACACACCTTAGAAGATATAAATCATTCAAATGTCACATGTGAGTGTTGCCTTACAGTCCATAGCATTTTATCATTCTAAATAATGGATACAATAAACATACCAATACAAACTATAAATCATAGCTATGTGAAAACACTGTTTCACAAGAGAATAACATGACTTGATTAGAAATGGGTCCAAAACAAAGCACTGCATCCAATTTCTCACTAAATTTTCTGGAAATTCAGATCTGTATTCACACTTTGCAACTGACCTCTAACTCTGTATAGGCTGAACCAAACCCCTGAGTTATAACACCCACATATTCTGTAAAAAATCATCAGGTCAGAAATGTAAAGTTTTGGTCCATTTCTACTTTTAATATCAACCTTCAGAGCACTTAAGGATGACACAGTCAAAGAGATCAAAAGGAGTTAATCACACAACTTCCACCAACTTTCAATAGGACCTGGGAATCTAACTCCCTTAAGCTCTCAGACTTTATAGGATACTATGTAAATTAACTTTACCCAACTGTATGATAATTTTTATCTCATGTTATTTTGAATTCAGGACTAAGAAAGAAAAAATTCTCCACTTCCATTTTTGAATATTTCAAAACTGCATTTTCATTGGAAATGCCTACTAGGGCACCTACTATATCCAAATAAGGAGTTTCCAGTGAAAATGAAGGGTCACATGCTTTCCTTACATAAAACTGCATAGTAAGAGAATACTTACCTTATAAGTTTATCAGCTCTTGGAAAACCAAAATACCACCACATTTCCTTGTCACCCTGTTGCGTAAGTGACATTGTGGAGGAGGTAAGGGGTGGTACCCAAAGTTACTTGCATCAGCCAAAGACACACAGGAATTAATAGCAAAGACCCCAAAGATTTCAAGCCATATGCAGTTGTGGCTCTTGGCGCCACACTTCTCCTTGCCATCCCCAGAACAAAAGAATAGATGGTACAGTTGATGTGTTGCCATTGTCTCCCCTGCCTGATATATTGTCATTAGTGGCCAGGAACTCCTCTTCTGGGGGTCATACAGTTAATAGCATGAGTTAATGCTGCTCAGAGCAGCTGCACCTTCCAATTTTTCTGGACCCATTTCCATTGAGAGACAAGCCATATAAAGCAGCTGTTCCACCAGACCATTCCACTTTTTCCCTGTCTTGCTCTTCTGCAATGGGAATTATACAGCAGGATGGCAGGCAATTATGTCATGAGGTTGGAGCACAGCATGTGGCCAGCCACCCCTTCCATACACCTTTAAACCCCTTTTCTTTCTAGTTTTTGTCCTTTTGTTCCCTTGCACTGAAGGGGAACAAATAGTCCCAAATATTTAAAGCTTCAAAAACATCTGTAGAATCATCTTCCTTTTAATATTAAATGCCTATACAAGATTGTCACCACAAGCAGTAGAAAAGTCACCACAAAGTTGCAAAAATCTCATTTACCCTGTGGGGGAAAACAGAGGAACTGTTCCCCAAAGGTGAAATAAAACGGTTAAGCCAAAACATTATTAATTATGCAGGTAAAACAAAATTATATTACTTTTATCTACTAAATATAAGGAGCACAACATAGGAAAAATGATGCATGAGACCAGAAAGAAAACTCAGGCATAGTTACCATCACAAACATCTTGAGTATTGCCATAATACTATTAATAATATTAATGTCATAATACCTATATCACAGATGTACATAGTCTTATACCTCCATTACCTGGTAATATTCATTTTTCTCTACCCTATATAAAAATTTAATCTTGCTGCACTATGTATTAAAAAGGTTAAGATAACTTCTAAGATATAAGGTCTTGTTTACACACAAGTTTTAAAATATATATATTAAATGGGGGACATCCGCCCCTCAGAAGCACAACTTTACTTCAGTACATCTCTGTGGTCCTATGAGTATATTTAGTCAAAGCTGGTGTAAAAACAAGAAATATTTTTACAGGTGATATTTTAAACTTTTTTGTAATACTTAAGCAGATGTATCAATTTTACTCATACCACAGACTATCAGAGACCCCCTATTGTTTGATGTATATTGTATACTCAACTGAAAGGTAAGTGAACAAATGGAAAATATCAAAGGAACGATCTTCATTAACTCTTTATGCAAACCCTGCACTGTAAACCCTTGCATCGGGATGTATACTATATACTTTCTGAGCACTATCACAGCAATGAGCAGGTATGGTCTGCTTTCTTTCCAATATGTTCTGGAGTTCAGTGAGAAATACTGGCTTTCCCTTCATAAGAATACTCAGAAACAAGAACAAAATAGCGTTAATGGGAATAGTACTAAGAGACAATGCAGCTCTCTCCAATACGGCAGAGGAGCCCTTAGCAATAGAAGCGCTATGCTTCCACTGTGCAAGTGGGGGCCAGGCAGGCATGCAAGGGGTTCAACCTCCTCATGTGCAATGTGGATCCCGGTTTCACTCAAAGGGTGGGAGCGGGCAGACATGGGTTGTATTTGGCCAGGGTACATAACACAGCATGGATTCTACATCTCTCTCGCTCACAGGGGTTTGCATGAAAGGTCCATAGAGGTTACTTCAGCCATTGGACTGAAGTAACCTCAGAAGAACTGTTCTTCAACCAGGAGGAAGAGGGAAGACTTGTCCTCCTGACTCCATGCTTTTCTACCTCATGCCCAGCCCAGCTACTCACACTGTGTACTTAGCTCTTTATTTGTCCCCTAATCCCTTCACTGCCCAGTAACAATCTGCCATTTTAATAAACAGTATGTTGCATAATGCACCTTATTTTAAGCATTCATTGCTGTGTCAATGTACAACTCTACTTTTCAAAGCTTTGTAATAAAAACGCTTTATCTTGGATTATTATAAAGATAAGAAACTTACCTTACTACCCCTTGCCTACACAGGAAGCAAAAAGGGAAAAATGAAGAAAGAGAAAACAAAAATTAGTATATATTTAAGAAAATTTTTAAATTTTTTTGAACAGAACAGAATTGCAGTAATATATCAGCAGAAATCTGGGCTAAACAATGAAAATGAATGCAGTGAATCAAATTCTGTCTCCATTACTCCTCCAGCCTCCCTAATTAGAAGGTTTTGGTCCTAACCTTTTAGGCCTTGATCCAATGTCCATTGAAGTCACGAGAATCTTCACACTGACTTCATTGGGGGCTGGATCAGCACTTAGTTTACAATGCTGTAGAATTTATTGCATTTGTACTTTTGACAAGGGGTCCAAATTAAGTTGCATGGATAATCTTAATTATGGTATATCCTTATTTTTGAGTGCCTGAATTCAACTTTTACTGCGAAGGCCACCTGGACTCTGCCCCGAGTGGTTGCTGGGCGGTGATCGGCGTCGGGAACATTCCCTCAACCGAGACTGGTACCGGGCCGGAGGCGACTGTGGAGATCCCAGCGGTGGCTTGCCTCTGGAGCGCGGGGCCGACATCGGCAGCGCTCCGGGCACCGGCATGGACATGACGTCCCAGGCCGCCTGGAAGGCTTCAGGCGTGGACGGCATCCGGACATCCAGAGAGGCCTGTCCCAAAGGGGACGGACTACTCTGCTCAACTTGAGTTGGAGGCCTGGGGCCCGGTGGGGATCGAGGACTGCCCAACATGGGCCTAGCCTCTGTCCCAGACTTCCCTCGGTGCCGCTGCAAAGAGGGAGTCTTCCTGGCTCTCTTGGCATTCCCCGTGGATGGGGAGTGGTGCCAGCTGGTTGATGGCACTGGAGGGTCGCCGCGTACCGATGCCGCGGTGTCAGTTCGGAGTCAGCGCCAACTCCATCAGGATGGCCCGGAGCCTAATGTCCCTTTCTCTTTTGGTACGAGGCTTAAACAACATGCAAATCTTGCACCTTTCGCTGATATGGGTTTCTCCCAAGCAGCGCAAACAGGCTGCGCGAGGGTCACTTCTTGGCATAGAACGCCTACAAGAGCCGCATGACTTAAACCCGGGGGTGCAGGGCATGCCCTGGCCCGGGTTCATTGACTAAACTAACTAAACAGCTAAAAGTAACAGAGGGTCCTGTAGCACCTTTAAGACTAACAGAAGTATTGGGAGCATAAGCTTTCGTGGGTAAGAACCTCACTTCTAACAGAAGTATTGGGAGCATAAGCTTTTGTGGGTAAGAACCTCACTTCTTCAGATGCAAGAAGTGAGGTTCTTACCCACGAAAGCTTATGCTCCCAATACTTCTGTTAGTCTTAAAGGTGCCACAGGACCCTTTGTTACTTTTTACAGATTCAGACTAACACGGCTACCCCTCTGATACTAAACAGCTAACTAACTTCAGGTACTAACGCTGAACAAATGAACAGTTCTGGGAACAAGCTACAGCAAAGCTGGAGCAGAGCAGTTCCGATGCACCTTCACTGGTGGCAAGAAGGAACTGAGGGTGGGGGGAGTGAGCAGCTCCCCTTATACCACGCCAGGCAGGCACCACTGCAGGGGTCACGGGGGTGCTCCCCCCCTACGGGTACTGCTAGGGGAAAAACTTCCGGCACGGTGCACGTGGTGAGCACGCACACCTATTGTGGAATACACATGAGCAATCACTCGAAGAAGAACAGAGGCAAATGACCATATTATCCAAGAAATTCCTCAAATGTTATCATTTGCACAGGGCATTTATGCATTTTTTTAAATTCCCTCCATTTATAAAAATGGAGGCATGATCTAGATGTAAATAATTGTCTGGTAATCAAAGATGTTTCAAAAGCCGTACTGATTTAAAATGTGTTAGCTCTCTTTATGCATTCAATGCATCAATGTAATTATGTTTTATTATAAAATATATCTGCTACTTTTCTTAGCTACATATAACTCCAATTTAGAAATTACCTTTCATCTAGTGATGGCTCCTTTTGTTGCAGATGAGGCTTAATTCCAAACATTGGTCTGATGTTTGTTGATAAGGCTTTGATGGTGTAATTAATTTCATTTTCTCGTGTCACATCACTGTCATAACCTAATAAAATCAATATAGTAAAAAGGACTAAGAGAAATAGGAAGTGAAAAATAATAAATAATTATTTTATTTCTGTAGCATCCCTTCTGCCAGAGCACTAGGCAATCAAATAAAAAGTAATACAATATACATGTAATTAAATACCACCTTCTTAGACAGACAAGGTGGTTGAGGTAATATCATTTATTGGACCAACTTCTGTTGGTGAGAGAGACAAGATTTTAAGCTTACACAGAGCTCTTCTTGTCTCTCCAATATCCTGGGATCAACACGGCTACAACACCACTGCATACCACCTTCTTAAAATACAAACTCAAAAATAAATTAGGGAGTCCACTTTAAAAAAAGAAGTGATTAAAAGATAAAGAGAGGGTCAACAAGAGTCATTTAAAAATATCAGTAGGAAAAAATGCAATGCATTCTTTAAAATGTGGAAAGACAACATAGAAGAATTTCAAAGGGCAGTAATTTCAACCACCATAGGGCAGCGGCGGGCAACCTGCGGCCCGCGGGCCGCATGTAGCCCATCAGGGTAATCTGATTGCTGTGAGACATTTTGCTGATGTTGAGCGTCCGCAGGCACGGCCCCCCGCAGCTCCCAGTGGCCGCAGTTCCCCGTTCTGCAGCCAATGGGAGCTGCGGGGGGCTGTGCCTGTGGATGGTCAACATCAGCAAAATGTCTCGCGGACCACAATCAGATTACCCTGATGGGCCGCAGGTTGCCCACCACTGCCATAGGGTCTTCCATGCCAAACCTGCAATTGTCTGCTAATTAAGTAGCAAATAAAGATGTAAAACTAAATTACTTAGGCCTGGTCTACACTAGGAGTTTATGTCGAATTTAGCGCTGTTACATCGAATTAACTCTGCACCCGTCCACACCACGAAGCTATTTAGTTCGACATAGAGGTCTCTTAAATTCGACTTCTGTACTCCTCCCCAACGAGGGGAGTAGCGCTAAATTCGACATGGCCATGCCGAATTAGGCTAGGTGTGGATGGAAATCGACGCTAATAGCTCCGGGAGCTATCCCACAGTGCACCACTCTGTTGACGCTCTGGAGAGCAGTCCGAGCTCGGATGCTCTGACCAGCCACACAGGAAAAGCCCCGGGAAAATTTGAATTCCTTTTCCTGTCTGGGCAGTTTGAATCTCATTTCCTGTTTGGACATCGTGGCGAGCTCAGCAGCACTGGCAACGATGCAGAGCTCTCCAGCAGAGATGGCCATGCTATCTCAGAATAGAAAGAGGGCCCCAGCATGGACTGATCGGGAAGTCTTGGATCTGATCGCTGTGTGGGGCGATGAGTCCATGCTTTCCGAGCTGCGCTCCAAAAGACGGAATGCAAAGATCTATGAGAAGATCTCTAAAGCCATGGCAGAGAGAGGATACAGCTGGGATGCAACGCAGTGCCGCGTGAAAATCAAGGAGCTGAGACAAGACTACCAGAAGACCAAAGAGGCAAACGGACGCTCCAGATCCCAGCCCCAGACATCCCGTTTCTACGAGGCACTGCATTCCATCCTAGGTGCGGCCGCCACCACTACCCCACCACTGACCGTGGACTCTGAGGATGGGATATTGTCGACGGCCGCTTCCTCGGACATGTTAGCGGACGGGGAAGATGAGGAAGGAGATGAGGAGGACGAGGCAGTCGACAGCGCTTACAACGCTGATTTCCCCGACAGCCAGGATCTCTTCATCACCCTTACAGAGATCCCCTACCAACCGTCCCCAGCCGTTAACCCGGACACAGAATCAGGGGAAGGATCACTCAGTAAGTGTTTAAAACATCTAAACATTTATTTTTAACAGAACAGTAATATTAACAATATTAACAATGGGTTTTGCATGATTACTTTGCCCTAGGCGCTTAACTTTTCAGTCCCTGGCAGTGCAACTACTGAAAAAAATCTGACAATGTCCGGTTTAGCATGATTGTTCTGCCCAAGCCGCTCTACTGTTTAGTCCCTGCCAGTGCAGCTACAGTAAAATCCGGTCTATATGTCCGGGGATAGAGCTGAAATCCTCCATGGACATCTCCACGAAGCTCTCCTGGAGGTAATTGGAAAGCCTTTGCATCAGGTTCCTGGGGAGAGCGGCCTTATTGGGTCCTCCGTAGTAGCAAACATTTCCGCGCCAGGAGACAAGCAAGTACTCCGGGATCATTGCCCTGCAGAGCATGGCGGCATACGGCCCTGGTCTTTGCAGGCTTTCCCGAAGCATCCTTTCTTTTTCCGTCTCTGAAATCCTCATCAGAGTGATGTCGCTCATGGTGACCTGCTTTGAATTAGGTAGGGGAATGTTAGTATTGGGACTGCTTGCCTGTTCCTTTACAGAACTGTAACCGGCGGTTTACAGCCACGCGGTGGAGGCGGGAGAGGGGAAGCATACAGGGATCTTTCCCTGGGACAGCCGCGAGGGGGTGGGACAGGGGCAGAGTTCATGCTTGCCAGATTGCTGGCAGCAGGGACTGGCATTGCTTTCAATGTGAAAGGAGGCCAGTGCTACTATTAAAGTTTTAAGCAGCCACAAGTCTACGGCTTACCATGTCGGCCTGCTACACAAATTCCGGTGTCCTGCAGTGATAGGTGCTGTGCATGGTCTTGTTCACAGAGAAAGACTATGTTCTTTGTTCACAACTAAATTTATCTTTCTGAGGAATTCACTCCCTTTTTCGCATTCCCACAGCTGCGACTGTCTCCCAACCTAGCCTGGCATCACACTCCCAGAGGCTAGCGCAGATTAGGCGTAGGAAGAAGAGGACACGGGAGGACATGTTCTCAGAACTTATGGGCTGCTCCCGAGCCCAGGCAGCCCAGCAGACACAGTGGAGGGAGAACTTGTCCCAAATGCACCGATCACACATGGAACGGGAGGAGAGGTGGCGGCAGGAAGACCAGCAGGTGACTCAAACGCTGCTTGGACTAATGAGGGAGCAAACGGACACGCTCCGGCGCCTTGTGGATGTTCTGCAGAACCGGAGGCAGGAGGACAGAGCCCCGCTGCAGTCTATCTGTAACCGCCCTCCCCCGCCACCAAGTCCCATACCCCCCTCACCCAAAGTCCAAAGAAGGAGGGGTGGCAGAGTCCGTGAAAACTCTCACTCCACCCCTGCAGAGTGCTCTAGTACTAGAAGGCTCTCATTCCCCAAAATTTGACAAGTCCTTTCCTTCCCGCCTCATCCAAGCCCCCGTCCAAGTTTCACCCCCCAGTTTCATGTGTAGTTGCTAATAAAAAATACGTTTCTGTTAATTACTGTTTCCATCATGTTCTTTTAGAGGAGAGTCTGTCTGAAGGGGGGGGAAGGGGGTTGGTAATTGGACAGGACAGTCACCTTTACCAGGGTACAGAGGCGGGGGCAGGTTCAGCAGCAGGGAACACACACAGTGCAGTCACTAGTTACCCTGGTCAGTCTGGGAGGTGGTTTTCATGTTCTGTGGGGGGCGGGGGGGTTGCTCTGTGACTTTGTGGTGGGGGAGGGCAGTTAGAGATCTTATGCAGCGGTCCTTATCCTGGATCACAGAGCCACTCAGCAGGGGATCTGTAACCGTCCTCCCCCTGCCACAAAGTCACATAGCCCCCACACACACAGAGTCCAGAACAGGAGGGGTGGCAGGCTCCGTTGAAACCACCAGTCCACCACTGCGGAGCCTGTCATTCCTGGAGTTTAGAAGCGTCATTTGCATCACTACACTACACCTGCTCCCCACCACAGTCTGCGTCCCAGTTTCAACACTTTACCGCGAAAACAGTAATAAAGACAACTGTGTTCATTAACAAATTTCCAGTGATTTTATTTTTCCAGTGCTTTCTGACAGGTCTGTGCCACTCTCAGACTTCAGGCCCTCACCGCGCTGCCGTAGCCTCCTCGCCTGATTTCTCTGCATCTGCCTCTGGGAAAGGTGAATGATAAGCTGCGAGGTGTTGACAACGGCCATAACTGCAGCGATGGTCGCAGCGGGCTCCATGCTCGCAGTGCTGTGGCGTCCACGCTGTCACTGACCAGAAAAGTGCGCGAACTGATTTCCCGCCGGCGCTTTCAGGGAGGGAGGGCGGTAGTGACGGACGGATGACGACAGTTACCCAAAAGCACCCTCGACACATTTTTTTACCCAGAAGGCATTGGCGGCTCGACCCAGAATTCCAATGGGCAGCGGGGACTGCGGGAACTGTGGGATAGCTGCCCACAGTGCACCGCTTCCAATGTCGACGCTTTCCCCGTTAGTGTGGACTCACAAAGTCGAATTACTGTCCTTAGTGTGGACACACACGTTCGATTTTGTAATATCGATTCCACATATTCGATTTAAGTAAAATCGAACTACTCTCGTAGTGTAGACATACCCTTAGATCAGTGGTCTCCAAAGTGGGGTGCGCAAGAGGATCCTTGGGGGTGCGCGGTAGGAGGAGCGCTTTATTTTTTTTTTGGCTTCATCAGTTCGGGCAGGAGTCCAAGCGGCTTTTTTTTTTGCTTCAGCAAAAATGGTAGAGCTGGCGCGGCAGAGGGTGCGTGCTCAAATTTTTTTTACTGATGGGGGGCACGATCAAAAAAGTTTGGAGACCACTGACTTAGATTATGTATAGTTATTTCTATGCTGCCTGTTTTAATGTTTTTGCACAGCTATTCCCCTAAACTTGTAAATGTTATGGTCGACTTGATATCAAGTTCAAATAAAGGGCATGTCATGGGAGAAGCGTGACTGGGAAGATTATCCCTATGGCTTGGTTAGCAGCTGTATGAACTGCTATAGAGGAAGTCCTTGTAATGTCATGATTTCTTAGGCTGGCAGAGAGATATTGGGAATGTCTGAATTTTTCTCTTGCACTTATAGTCTGTGAATGATTGCTCTTTGTTGTAGTTTCTTTGTAATTGTAATCTCAAGCATTTCCAAGATGGTAGTACGGCAGAGGTCCCCAAACTGTTGGGTGTACCCCTGTGGGGGGATGCAGAGGAATGTTGGGGGGCATGACTGGGACCCGGGCCAGCTCCCACAGGGGGTGGGGAGGGAGCACCACCGAGCTCTGCTTCTGGCCCCGCCTCCTTCCAGCCCCCTGCCCTCTGTCCACGTCCCCACCTTCCGGAGCCGTGGCCCTGGCTCCTGGAGGGCGAGAGGGAGGGGGAAAAGAGGGATGTGGCTAGGAGTAAGGGGGGGCGAGAGGTAAAAAGTTTGGGGATCACTGTAGTATGGTTAGTTTAGATATCTGTCTCACCAGAAAATAACAGAAAAATAAAAAGTGGTTGGCCAGTGCCTGCACAACTTACTGAAGTGAAATGTCAATTTAAGTGAATTGGACCCAGATTTGTTACCAAGTCTCATTTTATACACACACACACACACACACACACACACACACACACACACACACAGAATCCTTTTGTCTTATCAGATCAAGACTTGTCAAACATTTTAAAAATCACAGGTCCCACAGAAGAGTAGTTTAGTTGTTGATGTATGTGTCACATTGGCAAAGGTTATGTTTAAAATTATACCTTTTTGACATTTTAATATTATATTGTTTAGGTTTTGTGCTGTTTTATGCATGTATTTTAACTGTTAGCTCAGCGCCTAGAGCCTCTATGATCAGCTTTAGAAATAAAATTATGATGCCAAGATAAATTACTTTTTTGGACTGGGGCAAACATAATAGTTTGCTATACAAACTGTTCTCCAAATTCTTGAGGCTGGGGTTCCTTACGATCGGATTCGAAAATTCCAGCTGCCTTTCAAACACATATTAACTGTAACCAAAATAGTGTCTCTCTCACCTCCAAACTTGCTGAGTCTGATCCAAATGCTTAGGCTCTGGCTGTGTTTTTTCTCTGTATTTATGTAGACAGCTGCAAAATAGCCAAAGTCTTCTGAGCAGCCTACAAGATGGTGACAGATTTGCAACACAGAAACTAAGACCTGTTTAAGAAGCAGGGGAGGAGTCCAGGAGAATCCTTCCCAATAAATGTTTTTAATGTTAAAAAAAGCCAAATCTGCCAGCGATAGTTTAGGAGTATCTGAAGATTGTGATTCATTCTCTTGAATGTAACAGAGGCAGGGCCGGCTCCAGGCACCAGCTTACCAAGCAGGTGCTTGGGGCGGCCACTTCGGAGAGGGGCGGCACGTCCAGCTGTTCGGCGGCAATTCGGCGGACGGTCCCTCACTCCTGCTCGGAGTGAAGGACCTCCCGCCGAACTGCCACCGCAGATCGCGATCGCGGCTTTTGTTTGCTTGTTTGTTTGTTTTTGTTTTGTTTGGCTGCTTGGGGCGGCCAAAACCCTGGAGCCGGCCCTGAACAGAGGCAAGCAAAACTCACTTGGGAGCACAGAGGAGGTACTGACAACCTTGGGAAAATCTTGAGCACCCCTGCCTGAGAACGAACTCCTGAGCTATGATTTGAATAGGAACCCTTTATAACACACACATTCAGTATTGCAGGAAGAACTGATATTTAGTTCTATGTAATGTGATTAAATGTTGTTACTCCTGTTCATTTTAGAATTTTATGATAAGGTGGCCCGTAATACTAACATGAGCATATTTCAGACTACTACACTGATACAACAGACAAAGGCTTTTTAGAAAACCTCAAGACAACCAGATTCATTCATGATGTAGATTTCAACAGCCATACACATCCTTTTCTTCATCATTTTTAAAATAAATGGTATTTAAACATTAACTTTATTTTGCTGACTTCTTTAATATAATTATTTATTGATTTTAACATTTATATAGGTTTCTGGCAGTTAGATTCTGCTGGTACACCAAATCTATCCATGCAATTTCTAGTGTTGTGTTGTGGCTAGAGCAAGTTCTTGGGTTCTGTTCCACAGACTCAGACACTGAATAGTTTTGTGGTCTTGGGCAAATCACTTAATCTATCAGTTTCCCCATGACTATATTTATTGGTCTGTACCTCATACAGGATGCTATAAAGTTTAATTAATGTCTCTAAAGTAGTTTGTGATCTTTGGATAAAAATAGCTATATACATATTTTTATTTCTAAATTGGCAGTTTTTCTAAAAGAAACAAGAATTGCTCTCTTAGGTATTTCTTAAGAATATTACTGACCTCCATCTTCCTCAGAATCTAGATCAGATTCTTCACTATCACACTGCCTGCTCTCTCGATGTCCCTCCATCTCATAGGTCCACAGCATTAGAGAGGTGTCTGCCCCACCGACAGTGACCAACAAACTGTCCTCATGAGTCCAACGAACATTTGTTACATGCGTACTATGGGCCACATACCTCTTAAATTTTCCAAACTTTCCCTAAATATGAAAAAAAGAGACAAAAGTTTAATCAACTCTTCTAAATAAAATTAAAATGAGCTGCTAATAAAAGACATTTTTGTCCACTACTATATCCTTAACCTTTTAAAAGCATATGCTTTAAAATAGTTTTGCATTTATTCTGTGTTATATAATTTGACAAATTCCTTAATCATCCAGCAACTTGGTGAAATATAAACCAGATCTGCATTTCCAGTGGGGCTCTGGTTAAGAAAACGAGGAGCAAAGTCACTGCAATTTACAATAAGAACATAGGAATGACAATATTGACTCAGAGCAATGGTCCATCTAACCCAGTATCCTGTCTTCTGACAGCAGCCAGTGCTAGATGCTTCAGATGGAATGAAACAGAACTAGGCAATTATCAAATGATCCATCCCTTGCTGTTCAGTGCCAGCTTCTGGCAGTCAGCAGTTTAGGGATATCTGGAGCATGAGGTTGAGTACCTGACCATCTTGGCTAATTGCCGTTGATGGACCCATTCTCCAGGAATTTATCTAATTCTTTTTTGAACCCAGTTATACTTTTGGCCTTCACAATATCCCCTAGCAAACGAGTTCCACAGGTTGACTGTGCATTGTGTGAAGAAGTACTTCCTTATGTTTGTTTTAAACCTGCTGCCTATTAATTTCATTGGGTGAGCCGCGGTTCTTGTGTTATGTGAAGAGGTAAATAACACTTTCCTATTCACCTTCTCCACACCATTCATGATTTTATACACCTCTATCATATCTCCCCTTAGTCATATCTTTTCTAAGCTGAACAGTCCCAGTCCTTTTAAAATCTCTCATATGGAAGCTGTTCCATATGCCCAATCATTTTTGTTTCCCTTTTCTGTATCTTTTCCAATTCTAATATATCTTTTTCAATAATTTATTGCAGCGTTTCCCAAACCTGGGCCGCCACTTGTGTAGGGAAAGCTCCTGGCGGGCCGGGCCAGTTTGTTTACCTGCTCCATCCGCAGGTTTGGCCCATCACTGCTCCCACTGGCTGCGGTTCGCTGCTCCAGACCAATAGGGGCTGCTGGAAGCGGCATCCAGTATGTCCCTCGGCCTGCACCACTTCCAGCAGCTCCCATTGGCCTGGAGCAGCGAACCGCGGCCAGTGGGAGCCGCAATCGGCCGGACCCTAAACAAACCGGCCCGGCCCGCCAGAGGCTTTCCCTACACAAGTGGCGTCCCAAGTTTGGGAAACACTGATTTATTGCATTAGTGTTCAAGAATCTTTCACCAAATATTGTTTTTAGTAAGGAAGGAAAAAAAACAAATGTTGGAATTAAATATAAAAAACCTGGTTACTAACCTTCCGTAACTGTTGTTCTTTGAGATATGTTGCTCATGTCTATTCCTGTGTACGTGTGTGCTCGCCCCAAGCACCACCGCCGGAAAAATTTTTGTATCCACACAGGGCTCTAGTAATGGCCACCAGGAAGGCTACCTTCCAGGATAGGCAGAGCAGAAAGCACGTTGCCAGCGGTTCAAACGGGAGTCCTGTCAGCCGTGCCAACACCAGGTTGAGGTCCTAGGGGAGAAGCTATTGTACCAGGGGGGTATAAACTCTCCAGGCCTTTGAGGAAACAATCCCAGATGGAGTTCAAGAAAACAGAACACCCATTCACCCATGGGTGAAAAGCCAAGATTGCCACTAGTTGGACCCTGATAAATGACACAGATAGGCTTTGTTGTTTCAAGTAGAGCAAGCAGTCCAAAATGAAAGACAGTGTTGACTGTGTAGGAGAAATACCCTTTAGTGCAGACCAAATCAAGAATCTTTTCCACTTTGCCAGATAAGTGGCTCTAGTGGAGGGTTTTCTGCTCCCTAAAAACACCTCACGAACTGTCCTGAGCATGCTAGCTCTGTGGGGTTCAGCCTTGGAGCTTCCAGGCCATGAGATGAAGGGACTTGAGGTTTGGATGAGGTAGATGGCCATGGTCCTGGGAGATCAGGTCTGGAAATGAAGGCAGATGGAATGGCGCTTCAACTGAGAGGTCCAGGAGGGTGGTGAACCAGTGCTGATGTGGCCAAGCTGAGGTTATCAGGATAAGGCACTGTCCCTTCTGATCTATAGCAAGACCTTGTGTATGAGAGGGATGGGAGGAAATGCATAGAAGAGATGGTCCATCCAAGGGAGGAGAAAAGAGTCTGCAAGTGACCCTGGGCTGTGGCCGAGGAAGGAGCAGAACTGAAGACACTTCCTGTTGTGCCTCATCATGAACAGGTTGATGTGGGGAGTCCCCCACTTCTGGAAGATGTGTTTCACAATGTCTGGATGGATGGACTACTTGTGGTGACTGCAGAAGGACTGAGATGATCTGCTGCTCATTCTGTGACCCCAGCAGATAGGAGGCCTCGAGGTGGATTGAGTGGGCTATGCAGAATTCTCACAGGTGAGCTTCCTGGCACAAGTGAGAGGAGCACACCCTACCCTGCCTGTTTATATAAAACATTGCTGTCATGTTGTCTGTGAGGATCGACATGCACTTGCCCTCCAAATGGTTTTGGAATGCCTGGCAGGCTAGGCAAACTGCACTGTGCTCCCTGACGTTGATATGTAACACGAACTCCTCTGGAGACCAGAAGACCTGAGTTCTGAGGGGTGAGCTCCCCAGCCCATCGCCAAAGTGTCTGTGATGAGAGACACTGATAGATGGGGTCTCAAGAACGGGACTCCAGCATACACTGGCAGCGGGTCCAGCCACTGAAGAAAGGAAGCAATCACTGATGGGGGAAGTGTGACTACTGTGTCCAAGCGATGTTGGCCCGGTGCATATACCGATGCCAACCAAGCTGAAGAGGTCTGAGCTGTAGTCTCACTTGCTGCAACACATAGGTGCATGATACCATATGGCCCAGGAGCATTAGGTACTTTGTCCTGGTGATGGCTTTCCATGAACTGGGACTAGCTCTTGGAACTGGGCTTCTGGGAAGAAGGCTCTGACTTTGACCAAGTCGAGGATTGCACCAATAAATTCTATCCTTTAAACCAGGGAAAGGGTAGACTTCTGGGTATTTATTAACAGGCCCAAGTCCTGGAAAGTTGACTGTATTAACTTTACATTTGTCTCCACCTGGGCCTCAGTCCAACCTTTGATCAGTCAGTCGTTGAGGTAAGGGTAGACCTGAACCCCTTGTTTCCCCAGGAAGGCCGTGATGACTGCCATGCACTTCGTGAACACCCAAAGGACCACTGATAGGCCAAATGGAAGCACTGCAAACTGGTAGTGCACATGATTCACGATGAATCTGAGGAACCTTCTGTGTCCCTGAAAGACTGCAATATGAAAATAAGAATCCTTCAAATTGAGGGGATCCAGGGAGGGGATGATAGAGGGGGTCCAGGATCCAAGGAGGGGATGAGAGAGGCCAAGGAGACCATGCGGAACTTCAGTCTCTTCATGAACTTCTTGAGCTTCCGCAGGTCTAGAATTGGTCTGAGACTGCTGTTGGCCTTCAGGATTAGGAAATAACTGGAATAGGACCCCTGGCTCCTTAGCTCCTGTGGAACCTCCTTCACAGCTCCCAACCTTAGGAGCAACTACACTTCTTGGATAAAAAGGAGCTTGTGAGGTCCCGCTCACCTAAACGAGCTCAACCTCTGTCTCCAGGGTGCAGGGCAAACGGTTCTGGATCTTTATGAAACCTGGAAAGCATTTGTTGTAAAACTAGCAGTTTTTTCTCGGGATATTCGAACTTCGACTTTCCGCTACTTCCAACACATAAAAGAGCTATCGAGACGTTGCACTGTCAGTGTCAATGAGATTGGAATGTACATGCAAGAACTGGAATCTGAAATTTTTGACACATTTCAAGATTTCCAGTGATTTGGCCCAATGCTTTCTTTTCTAATTAAATCTGAAAAGTTCAATGAAAGCGACTTGGATTTGTCTGTATTTCAGTGGATGGGTGCTGAAGATTTCGAAATGCAGCTCATTCAGTTAAAAAGCTCAGAATTGTGGGCATCAAAGTTTGGAGATCTGCGGAGTGCAATTGAAGCTACCGAGAGAGATCATGGGGTCTCTATTCTGACCTGCTGGACGTCCCTGGCAGTGAAATTTTACTGTTTGAAGAAAATTTCGTTTGCAATACTTTCAGTATTTGGATCCATATATTTTCACATATGAAATCTGTCCTAATCGGAGCCAGTTAACAACTGATCACTCAGAAGCCTGTGTGCAGCTTAAAGTATCCAAATACGTGCCAGACATTGGAAAACTCAGCAAGGAAAAGCAAGGGCAAGGATCACACTAAACTGATAAGATCTGCATTTTAATTTAATTTTATATCATCATAGGGATCACAGAATATCATGGTTGGAAGGGACCTCAGAAGGTCATCTAGTCCAACCCCCTGCTCAAAGCAGGACCAATACCCAGACAGATTTTTGCCCCAGATCCCTAAATGGCCCCCTCAAGGATTGAACACCCACAACCCTGGATTTAGCAGGCCAATGCTCAAACCATTGAGCTATCCCTCCCCCCTTAATAAAGCTTCTTAAACATTTTAAAAACCTTATTTACTTTATATACAACAATAGTTTAGTTATATAATATAGACTTATAGCGAGAGACCTTCTAAAAACGTTAAAATGTATTACTGGCACACGAAACCTTAAATTACAGTGAATAAATGAAGACTTGGCACACCACTTCTGAAAGGTTGCCGACCCCTGCTCTAGAGATCTCAGGGTGGCCTGGCACGGGTTGCACTCTACTAGAGTCTCTCTGTGACCTGGGGGTCGGGGATTGACTTCTGTCCATCTTTTTCAGCACCAGTGATGAAGAGCAGTGCTGAGAGTCCTTGGCCGGCGCAGTCTTCTTCGGCCCTGGAGATGACAGACGGTGACAAGGCTCCCGAGAGGCAGAAGCAATGTCCCTTCTCGGTGCCGGGGATGGAGACCGGAGCTAAGTCCTAATAGTCGCTGGGGCGCTTCTGAAAGAAGCTGAAGTACTTGGTGCTGAGTCCGAGGGACTTGGCTCCGAGGGAGGACAGAGAGCTGCCTCAATAAGAATAAACTTAAGTCTCTTGTCCCCATCTTTTTTGGTGCGGGGCATGAAGTTCTTGCAGATCTTGCAGCGCTCCCGCACATGAGCTTCCCCCAGGCACTTAATGCAGCTGGAATGGGGGTTGCTCACCGGCATAGGCTTGTGGCAAGAACCACAAGGCTTAAACCTCAGAAACTGAGGCATATCCCGGTGCCAGGCAGTGACTAACCCCGCAACTTGGGGTTCATTAACCTAACAACTGTTCTAACAACTAAAACTTAACTATAATAATGGTAACTATACACAACAAATTAGAAACAAAGTCCACTGAGGAGTATTTGTGAACACAAGGACGAAGTAGTTCCAGCGACTGTCACAGGCAGTAAGAAGGAACTGAGGGAGCTGCGAGGCCCTTTCTACCGGCATCATGAGCACGTGACTCCAGGGAGTACAAAAGCTGACTCGATGGATACCACTGAGGGAAAAACTTTCCAGCAGCGGTGCTCGTGGCGAGCACACACCTACACTGGAATGAACATGAGCAACCACTCAAAGGAGAACTGTGCATAACAATATTAAACACAGAGGTTTAGTACTGTGTAGCAGTTGTGAAACTTCATGTTAAAATACTATAAGCACGTGCACTGCTGACATCACTTGTATGGTATAATATTAACAATTGAAGAACTATGTGATGGCATAAATATATTTCACAGTTTAATGCACAACAACTTACAATGTCATAATTATTTCCTTAACTGATCTTGGTGACAAAAAATGTAAGAGCAATATTATGCTTTATATGGAGTGATAATTTTGGTAAGTGCTGGCATAAGCAATTTCATTAACCAGTCTTCTAATACCACAGTTAGAAACGTACTTACTTTAGCAGGGAATCGGAAAAGTTTCACAAACCCAAAATCATCTCCTGTGGCCAAGACTTTACTATCACTGGTGAGGCATGAAGCAGTTACATCTGTGACTTCCCCAATTATTGGCCAGATTCCCTCACAGCAAGAGCCCAGAACACTTGTCCACGATGCCCAGCCAATCTTTTCAACCTACAAAACAAAATTTGTCATCAATCTGATCTCAAACAAAACAAAAGCTTTTTTATTTCAAAATATATTATTTTATATACTGTAATAGATTCAGACCAGAAGAATATAAGAGAGTGGTGGAAGGCAGGAACATCAGCCTTCTGAATGAGCAGGTCCCTGTTCCTGGATAGCCAAACAAAAGCTACTCCAGACCAATTAAGACACCTGATGCCAATTAACCAGTTAAGGCCGTTCGGCTAATGGAGACAGCTGGAACCAATCAAGGTCCCACTTATACTGTTTAAAAGCTCTCCTTCCAGTGCCCTCTGGGGAGCCGAGGTGAAAGGAGCTGGAGAAGAGGAAGCACTGCTGAATCCTGAGGTAAGGGTGAAGCTAAGAAAAGGGGACCATGGGGGAAGTGGCCCAGGGAATCAAGGCAGCGTCAGTGGTGAAGGGAAAGCTGCCAACAGCTGCCACCATTAGGGTCCCTGGGCTGGAACCCAGAGTAGAGGGCGGACCTGGGTTCCCCTCGCCCCCGTACTCTACAGAGATTCCCTGGAGAAGGGAAGCAGGACTCGGATCAGACAGGAGGCCGAACTGCGCCTACTGAGCTCTACGGAGTAACAGAGACTGTGGGGTATTCCCCCTTCCCATCTCCCATACTGGCTGGTGAAGAAAGTAACTCAATAGGCTGTGACTCTTGCCACTACACTGAAAAAGGGAGGTCACATTGGGGCCTTATCGAGTTTCTGAGGCCACTGAATCCGCCCAGAAGCGTGGGACCCACCAATACAGGCTCGGAACTTTGTCACAACTGGTGTCAGGGGTGAGATAGTTGACTTATCGCTCACAGCACAGTGGAAAAAGGGGAGAGTTTAAAAAAAAAAAAGTAAACTGGGTTTGGGTGTCCTCACCACAATGGAAGACGTAATAAAAGCACTGATGCAAGCCACTGCAGCCCAGCAAGAGGCCACCCGAGTCCAAGCAAGGGCGCAACAAGAATCCATGCGGCTACAACAAGAGACTAACCAATTATTGATAGGGCAGGCCTCCCAGGATCGAGCCCTCTTGCGGGAGGTGGTCGACCAACTGAAAGCCCTCACGGCCAAAAACCAAGGATCTGAAGGGTCGCGAGTATGGAGGGCTGCTGGTTGTCTACCAAAGATAACAGCCGATGATGACATAGAGGCGTATCTCCTCTCCTTTGAGAGGACCGCCTTGTGACAGGCATGGCCTCAGGACCAGTGGGCCAGCATCCTCGCTCCCTTCTTATGTGGAGAGGCCCAGAAAGCCTATCACGACATGCCCGCTGAAGCTGCCGTTGACTACCCCCAGCTGAAGGCGGAGATCCTGGTGTGATCAGGCGTAACAACCACAGTACAGGCCCAGAGATACCATGAGTGGAGGTACCAGGACGGCAAACCTCTGAGGTCACAATTGTTCGACCTCATTCGCCTCACCCGGAAGTGGTTACGACCCGAAGTATGCAACCCAGAGGAAAAGTTGGAAACTTTGGTCATAGACCGCTATATGAGGGGACAGCCCCACATGGGTGGGCCAGAACAACCCCTTCACTTAAGATGGTGTGATCACGTTGGTGGAGAGACGGATAGCGGCCCAAGAGCTGTCCCGACTACCTAGAGAAGCCCCTTCCTGAAACAAGTACCCAGCTGTGACCCCAGAAGGTCAGGTAACTAAGCATCCGGGGAGCCCCAGGTGGAAGAGGGTAGTGGCTACAGAGCAGCCGGGAACCCAGAAAGGGGGGGAATAGCCTGAGTGGGGGAACCACAGGGCAAAGACCCCTAACCCAAGAGTCGACGGGCATGGGAAACTGAGGGAGAGACCCCGAAGGGGAGGAGGAAGCAGAGGCTGGTCCCAACCCCAATGCCACTGAACTGACCAAGGGGACGGAGGCCAGTTCCTCGGAGTTCGGGGCAACAGGTCCCGGAAGAGAGACTTTCGGGCGAGACCAGGTGGAAGACCCCAGGTATGATGTCAGAAAAGAGGTGGCTGAGATAGATGGGGTGCTCGTAGAAGGAAAGGCCCGGGGGCCAGTGCCCTATTTTGTGATTAAGAAGGATCGCCTGTACTGGGTGGTACAAATGCAGGAACAAACGGTAAACCAGCTCCTGGTACCAAAAAAACATCAGAGGGCAATATTAAGTCTCGCCCACATTCACCTCTTTGGGGGACACTTGGGGGTAGAGAAGACCCTGGCACGGATCTTGCGCAGATTCTTCCGGCCGGGGGTACATGAGGATGTCTGGTGGTATTGCGCCTCTTGTCCCTAGTGTCAATTGCACAGCCCTCGCCCACATCTAAGGGCCCCTTTGGTACCCCTACCAATCACTGAGATTCCCTTTGAGCGAATAGCCATGGACCTGGTGGGACCTCTAGAAAAGGTGACTCAAGGCCACCAATATGTGCTGGTCGTCTTGGATTATGCAACCAAGTATCCAGAGGCCATTCCCCTCCGAAACACGACCTCTAAGTCCATAGCAAAAGCGCTAGTGGAAATTTTTGCCCGGGTAGGGCTACCAAAAGAGATTCTAACAGACCAAAAAACGCCTTTTATGTCTAAACTGATGAAGGACTTCTGCTCCATGTCCAGACCCTGCGAACCTCGGTTTACCACCCGCAGACCGATGGTCTGATAGAGAGATTCAACCGGACCCTCAAATCCATGATAAGAAAGGTGGTAAGTAGGGATGAAAAGGACTGGGATACCGTTGCCCTACCTGATATTCGCCATCCGTGAAGTTCCCCAAGCCTCCACTGTATTCTCTCCCTTTGAGCTATTATATGGTCGCCACCCCCGGGGCATACTAGACATAGCCAGGGAGATTTGGGAAGAGGAGCCCAATATGGGGAAGAATATAGTTGAACATGTATTGCAAATGAGAGACCGTATAACCCAAGTCACCCCCATAGTGTGGGAGCACCTGGAGAAGGCCCCAAAAGACCAGTAAACTCACTACAACCGCCAAGCAAAGGTACGGTAGTTCCAACCAGGAGACCGAGTAATGGTGTTAGTACCCACGGCAGAGAGTAAATTCTTGGCCCAATGGCAGGGGCCCTATGAAGTAGTTGAACGTATAGAAGAGGTAAATTACAAGGTACAACAACCTGGACATAGAAAACCAGAACAAGTGTACCACATCAACCTTCTAAAACCCTGGCATACCCAAGAAGTGTGTGTAGTTGTCCAAAAGGACCTACCACAGGAGAACAAAACCCCCGAGCCGGTGAGGGTATCTCCCGATTTAATGCCAGCCCAAAGAGAGGAGGTGACCAAGATGATCAACTGGAACCAAGACGTATTATTGTCTTGGCCAGGTCGAACAACTGAGACATACCACCACATCAATACAAACTCCAGGGTCAAGGTAACGATGAGGCCCTACCGGGTGCCAGCAGCCAAAAGAGAAGAAATCAGAGCAGAAGTAAAGAAAATGCTGTAGTTAGGGGTAATCGAAGAATCCTACAGTCAGTGGTCTAGCCCGATCGTGCTAGTGCCCAAACCGGATGGCTCCACGAGGTTCTGTAATGACTTCTGTCAGCTGAATGAGGTGTCCCAGTTCGACGCGTACCCTATCCCCCACATAGACAAGTTAGTGGACCGACTAGGAAATGCCCGGTTCCTGACCACTGAAGACTTAACTAAAGGGTATTGGCAGATTCCCCTTGCTGAAGATGCAAAAGAGAAGACCGCTTTCTCCACGCTGAAGGGTCTCTTTCAATATACAGTCCTCCTGTTGGGTCTGCATGGGGCCCCATCTATTTTTCAGAACCTCATGGATAAGCTATTGCGCGCCCATGCCAGTTATGCGGCCGCCTACCTGGACGATATGGTTATTCATACTTTGGACTGGGAAACCCACCTGGAGAAGGTGGAAGCTGTCCTAGATACCCTAAGGTGTGCTGGCCTTACTGCAAACCCCGCCAAGTGTGCCATAGGGTTAACAGAGGCTAAATATTTGGGCTACATTGTGGGACAAGGCATAATAAAACCCCAACTCAATAAAACTAGAGGCCATCCAAAACTGGCCCTGACCGATTCGCAAGAAACAAGTCCAGGCATTTTTGGGGGAAGTGGGGTACTATCGACGCTTTATCCCCCATTTCACCACCAGGACAAGTGCCCTGATGGACCTAATAAAAGCTTGGGTACCTGAGATAGTACGATGAACTGATGCAGCAGAGAGGGCATTTACAGATCTGCGGACAGCCCTCTGCAGTGACCCCGTACTTATAGCCCCAGACTTCACTAACTGGTTCATCCTGCAGAAAGACGCATCCGAAGTAGGACTGGGGGCTGTTCTATCCCAGATAGTCAGAGAAGAACACCACCCTATCCTCTACCTTAGGAGGAAACTCCTCCCAAGGGAACAGAAATATGCGGTGGTTGAGAGGGAATGCCTTGCCATTAAATGGGCCATGGAAACACTGCGATACTACCTGCTAGGGAGGGAGTTCGGTCTCGTGACCGACCATGCCCCTCTTCAGTGGACGCAGCAGGACAAGGAAAAAAATGAGAACCCCGGACAGCGCCCACTGCTCCTCAAAAGCATCCAAGGAGCCAGCGGACGCCGCCCAAAGGAACTCTGCCTGGATGTGTGAATGGATGAAAGAACGAAAACAGGCCCCACAGTCGCAGGCCTCCCCCCCAGCCAACCTCCTCTCCCTGGTGTTATAAATGGCCACTTTGGCCATGGCTAGGAGGAGGTTGATGAGGTGATCCCATGACTTCGTGGGGCCACGGATGGGGTGCGAGGAAAAGTGCAGCCAGAACCTCAACAAGAGGTTCTGGATGAGCTGGAAGAGGGGCTGCAACCTGGGGCACTGCAGATAGACATGCGTCAGGGTCTCCATCACACCGCAAAAAGGGCAAGCGTCGAGAAGAGGGGTGAACTGAGGTAGGTACACGCCCGTGCTCACGGCTCCATGAAGGAGCTGCTAACTAATGTCCCCGGTGGGCCGTGGAACCAGGATGGAATACAGCCCCACTGGGGTCCTCCACC